GTCCCCTGCGGCGGCGCCGCGCTGCCCGTCAAGGTGGTGGCCGAGTGCGGCTGCGGGCCCTGCGCCCGGCCCCGCGTGCTGGTGCAGGGCCGCGTGACGGCGGCCGACACGGGCGAGCCGCTGCGCTTCGGCCACATCTTCCTGGGCAAGGAGAAGGTCGGCTTCACCGGCTACCAGGGCTCCTTCACCATCGAGGTGCCGCCGGGCACGCAGCGCCTCGTGGCCCGCTTTGTGGACCGGCAGCAGCGCCTCGTGGACACCGTCAGGGTGCTGCCCTTCGACCGCCGCGGCGGCGCCGTCTACCAGGAGGTCAAGATGCTGCGCAGGAAGGAGCCCGTGGACCTGGACGCCGGCCGCGCCAACGCCATCCCGCTGGGCGAGGCGCGCGGCCAGGAGCCCGTCGGGGAGCTCCTCATCCCCGCCGGCGCCTTCCTGCGCCCCTCCGGAGAGGTCTTCACGGGCACCGTCAAAGCCAGCGTCACCTTCCTGGACCCGAGGGACGTGGCCACGGCTGGCGCCGCCTCCAGCGACCTCAGCTTCGCCAACGCCGAGGGGGAAATCGTGCCGCTGCGGACCTACGGCATGTTCGCCGTGGACTTTCGGGAAGGGGAGTCCAACGAGGTGCTGCAGACGGGGCCCGTGCAGGTGCGCATGGACGCGAGGCAGATCCGGGTGCCGGAGCACCTGCAGAACATGAAGCTGTGGTCCTTGAACCCGGAGACCGGCTTGTGGGAGGAGGAAGGCGTCTTCCGCCAGGTCAAGGAGAGGAGGAGGAAGAGGGAGGACAGGACCTTCCTCATCGGGAACATGGAGATCCGGGAGAGGCGTCTCTTCAACCTGGACGTGCCCGAGAACCGCCGCTGCTTCGTCAAGGTCCGGGCGTACAGCAACGAGAAGTTCAACGCCCACGAGCAGCTGGAAGGGGTGGTCATCAGCCTCATCAACCTGGAGCCGCAGCCCGGCTAYCCCACCAACCCGCGGGCCTGGGGCCGCTTCGACAGCGTGGTCACGGGGCCCAACGGCGCCTGCCTGCCCGCCTTCTGCGACGGCGAGCGCCCCGACGCCTACACGGCCTACGTCACGGCCACGCTGGGCGGCGAGGAGCTGGAGGCCGTGGCCTCCAGCCCCAAGCTGAACCCCGGCGCCGTGGGGGTGTCGCAGCCCTACCTGAACAAGCTGGGCTACCGCCGGCTGGACCACGACGAGCCCAGCCTCAAGAAGACGGCTTTCCAGATCAACGTGGCCAAGCCCGACCCCAACAACATCGACGAGACCAACGGGCCCGTCTACCCCTACCGCAGCCTCAGGGAGTGCGAGGAGGCGCCGGCCAGCGCCAACCACTTCCGCTTCTACCGCGTGGAGGTGGACAAGTACGAGTACAACGTGGTGCCCTTCAAGGAGAGCGACCTGACGTCCTGGACGGGCGACTACCTGTCGTGGTGGCCCAACCCGCAGGAGTTCAGGGCGTGCTTCATCAAGGTGCGCATCGAGGGGCCGCAGGAGTACATGGTGCGCTCCCGCAGCGCGGGCGGCAGCCACCCGCGCACGCGCGGGCAGCTCTACGGCCTGCGCGACACCCGCAGCGTGCGGGACATGCAGCTGGAGAACAGCTCGGGCGCCTGCGTGGAGTTCAAGTGCAGCGGGATGCTCTTCGACCAGAGCCTCGTGGACCGCACCTTGGTCTCCATCATCCCGCAGGGCAGCTGCCGCCGCACGGCCGTCAACGGCCTCCTGCGYGACTACCTGGCGCGGCACCCGCCGCTCGCCGAGGACAACAACACGGCCGCCTTCACCATGCTGGCGCCCGCCGACCCGCTGGGCCACAACTACGGCATCTACACGGTGACGGACCAGAGCCCGCGGCTCGCCAAGGAGATCGCCATCGGCCGCTGCTTCGACGGCACCTCGGACGGCTTCTCGCGGGAGATGAAGTCCGGCGCCGGCACCGCCGTGACCTTCACGTGCCGGGAGCGGCCGGCCACGCGCGAGAGCTTCTTCCAGCGGCTGCTGGCGGCGCCGGCCGAGGCGCTGGCCGAGATGCGCCGCGAGATGGGCGCCGCCGAGCAGCGCCGCGCGCCCCCCGACGTGCTGGACTTCTCCTCGGGCTGGCGGGCGGCCGGCCCGGCCCCACGGGGCCCCGGCGGCCAGCGGAGGGTCCGGGCGCAGCTCTGAGCCCCCTGCCCGCCGCCGCGCTGCCCCTGCCTTTCCCCACTGCTTTCCCCTGCGCGCGTCTATGGGGGGCACGGTGGGATGTCCCTGGTGGGGAGCGTGTCCCCCCCCCGTCCAAGGGACCCTCCGGGGCGCCGGAGCAGCGGGCGGGGGTGACCGCGACCCGCGTCCCGTGTCCCGCATCCTGGTGCTCTGCCCGCCCCCGCCGCGGGGCCGGCTCTCGGTGCTCGTCCCGCCCGCCCCGGGGCTCCCGGCAGCCGCCTTCCCCCGGGGTGGGCATGGAAAAATAAAGATTAAAAGACCAAAAAGAAGGGGGGGGTCGAGCAGGCGATTTGCCGGGGCAGGAAGCGCTGGGGCCGCCGCCCCGCCGCCGCGGTGAGGGGCGGCCGCCGGGGGGGCCCGCGCGGACTTGTACGTTATTTATTACCAAATATACGGTGGTGGCACCGCCGCGAGGCTCTGTGTGCGCGGCCGGGGCTCCTGCGGCCGCGCCCCC